TGATTTTCTTTTAATATATACTCACTAGCAACAAGCATTTCTTCAATCGAGAAACCTTCGAGTTACATAATTTTATTGAAAAGTGACATTCTTCTATCATTACTCTTGGCTTCTTTCTTAAAGAAAGCTTAATGCCCTTAATTTGGCCCACAACCTTATCATATACAACTCTTAGATTGCCTATATGCTCAATCAATTCAGCAATTGGTCCATTTTCGCTCCTATAATGCTTTTTACCTGACAATGTCTTAGTCAAGGTCAGAGTAGTTGAACGTATTTCTTCTTCATCCTCTGCTCTTTTCATATTTCTTTCATGATGGGGATCAAACTTTAGAAAGAAATAAGCATCCTCAGTAGCATTTATTGTTTCAACGGCATCAACTACTGTTTCAGCTCTCTGATTTGTTGCTTTGTCGGTTTCAAAAATCACTTTAAAATCATCAAAAAAAAGAAAATATTTGTTTCTTAACCTTTTTGCATATGAATGAGTCTACACAAAAGTTAAAATAAATACAAATCAAATATAATGAATAAAAAAACATAAAATAAGTAAGTTAAGTGATAGTTTAATCTTAAACAACTTATCCGAACTTACTTATCAAAAATTGTGTTCTCAGTAGTGATACATTTATCTCGATTGTTACACCTAAATCCACTTATATTTTTCATATCACAAATAGTATGACATTATCTTTTTGATAGTTTAACCCTTAACTCAATTGGGGGTGGCTTTAAGTTGAGAATTGAGAATGAGTTTCTTTATCATTATTTCAAGATACCTTAGATATCTAATATGGAATGTTTCATTATCTGCTCTTCATCTAGGATCATTTGCCAATGCATGTAGGCATTCAGGATATGAATCCTTATCCCTTTATCTATGATGGTTACCTACCCTCGAGCTTTTTGTTCTTATTATAGATAGGCCTCTTACAAATCGAGAAAGATTGGCATAAGATGAAGACATGTTGATTTTTTAATCACATGGTTAGACATCATGCAACAATATCAACATAATAAATCAAACACCAAAAAAAAGTCAAACGTTTGTATTAAGGCATGAATTAAACCAATAGACATAGAAAGAAAACAAAGATTATTAAAAACAATTGTCATATACATTATACACTAAACAAGAAAAAAATACTTAAATATATATTCAACAAAGGTAGAAAATAAATTATACATTCAACCATATCGTACAAACATCAATTAAGCCAAAAAAAAAATGAAATAAACAAAAATATATAATGTTTTTATCCTTGGGATTGTAACCAATTCATGAACATCTCAATGCCAAATTATCTCTAAACTAAGTCCAACATCAATTGGCTTAACATATGTAATCAAATATTAATGTTCAAATTCATCTGGTTAGCTACTACTTTCTTCAATAACATCATCTTCAATAAGGTCAATTACCACCTTAGACCTAATAAAGTTATAAAGAAGATAGCAAGCAAAACTAATTCTACATTGTTTATTAAATAAAATGACTTCTCCCTTAAAATTATCCATCTAGCTTTCAATATACCAAAATATCTCTCGATACAATTTTTACTTAAAGAATATTGAAATATTTTTATGGGGTTGTCAGTTGGAGTCTTGGCCTCCAATCACTAAGATGGTATCTTTGACCTCTATAAAGTGCCAAAAAATCTTCCTCATATGTGCGTCACACAAATAGTAATTACCTATTAAAATGGAACAACATTAATACATATAAAAAAAAGGTGTTCCATTCTAAACTAAACTAAAATATTAAAGCTAATATCTTGTGAGATCCAAAACACATTCTTATGTGTAATGACATCCCTTAGCACTTTACCTTCTACTGCAGTACCTTTTCATCCCAATAAAATTTATATGAATTGCATATCTAAGGTACAGACACCAAGGACATTAGTAGCAATTTCATTTTTCTTAGTCTTGTGTTTAGACCTGTCAATTGTGTCTACATTAACCTTGATGTATGTCACATCTAAAGCATCTAAACAACCCTTGAACCAATTTCATCTATTATCTATTGAATTTTTGGATATCGATTCAAGTTTTTTCAACAACAGAGTATGCGATCTCAAAATAGAATTCTACATAAAATGAAATTGCCTACTAATTGTCTCTTCAGATACTGCTACTTGACACTTCATAACCATATTTTTTATATAATAAGTAACTAATTCTCTATTGACATATGTCTAGATGCCTATAATCCCCCTTTTGTTTGAAGCACATAATATAATTTTACAAAATCTCTCTTATCCATTTTAATATTATCTACACACTCTCTATCACTCTAAAAAATTATTGCATTTAAGTTTAACTCTCTTATATGTAGCCTATCATAAGAGATTCCACTATAAGATACTCTACACTATTTTCTAAGTTTTATTGCAATTAAAGTCATAGTAACAATAACTAACACATGCAATAAAGTCTCCATCTAGTTCAAATGCAAACAAGCATTGTAACCAATTGCATTTTCTTTTGTAGTGATATATGAGCCATAACTGTTTATAATAAAGATTCACATTAATGTTGAAAACATAACTAAAAAGAAAATCTTTGCATATGACGGATGGATTTGTCACACATCTAAAATCAAAACATAAACCAACAACAAAATATTTGTGGATGAAGGATCTAAAACCAAAATGAATAACAAATTTGATATATCAACATATTTTCAATTAAGATCTAAACAATATCTAAACAAATAAAAAAAGAAAGCATTTGAATGCAACAAAGAATACATAATAGATAATTAGGTAACAGATATTAGACATACCATTTATTGAAAAAAATACAGATAAATTGAATAACACGAAAATTAAATGACGAACGTTAAAACTGATGTTGGTTGAAACAAAAAAGTATTTGCTTAGAGTTTTGCTATATTAAAATAAAAATCAGAAAGTGATTTTTATTATTGAAATATGATGAAGACATCAATTACGACATTTCTTATGTAAAAATGTCCTAATATTTATTAAAAAGATGTTCATTTGAATTTGATTAGACATTATAACATTCATAATGTCAAAAACATGATTTTTGAAAAAAAAAATGTTAAATTACTTAATTACTGCATTTATTTGAAAATAAATGCAGTAATTAATAATAAAAAAATTACGTAAAATAAAAAAATAGAATTCTAATTACCAAAATGAAATAAAATTTTCAATCAATTACTGCATTTTTACAAATAGACGTAATAATAGAAATATTATAAAAGTCACACTCTCTCATAATTACTATGTATTTTTTTAAAAAATAAAATAATAGAAATATGGAATTAAAGAAAATAATGAATCATTATTGCATTTTGCTCGTTACAAACATCATGATTAACTTTAAAAAAATTTTAATTTCATTCACAGACTTTTCTTTTCAAGAAAAAAGGGTAACATAAATAGAAAAAAATTTTATTTAGGTCAAATGTAAAATTTAAGTAACTTTTCATCCGAAATTATAAAATACCACAAAAAAATGTGGGTTTTTTTTTTCAGAATTTTTGCATAGTATTAAGGATAAGACATTTTTCCTTAGAATCGGATAACCTACACCAAATTTAGAAATTAAATACCTACAATTAAGATTTCAAAAGAATTTTTGGATTGTTCCGAACCAAATACCTCATTAAATATTTTCAATTGTGAATTTTGAAAACAATAAGCAAATATTGTACCCAATGCAATTTTGGCCCTTCGCTTCTATAAATTGGTCATATTAGACTTGCAAATTTATTAAATCAATTTCAAGGTATTGAAACAAATAAATTGAATATAATTAATAATTAAAAATACAAATTCGAAGTTCAATCGATTTATATAATCACTTTTAAAATATAATAATCAAAAAATAAAAAATTTAAATCTCAATATTCGTAATTACTTTTTCTATTCTCATTCCACGACCTCTTTTATAAAAAAAATTTAATAATTAAAATACATATTTCATGCTTTAAGCAAACGCAGGTGCATCCCTAAATCCTGGCTACTTTTGCTTATAGGAAAACTACAAGGTGATTAATAGAAAATGCACAAAACATTGTAATTTCGTATACAAAATTGCGAACTTAATTTTCTTGCAAAGAAAATTAGAAACTATACATACATACATATATACATACATACATACATATATATATATCAAATTTTATTTAATATATGTACCAAATTTTATTGAGGAAATACTAAAAGAATTGACTCAAAATCTTAAGAAACAATAAAATTTTGGTATTTTAAACGACTAAAAAGAACAAAAACTTTGAGATGATGATCTAATTAGTGCTTACAGAAGGTCACATAATTCCTTTGCAAGAACATCAGATCAAATTGAAATGATACATAGGAGAGAGAAGATGCCCATAACTCTAAAATGTTATCAATTTTCCACTTTCTTTGTCATGCACAAGAAAAAAAGAAAAAAAAAAAAAACTGGATAGATCTTTAATTACTCTGTTTTTTGTGATGCTTAGTGCATTTTTCCTTTGGACCACAATATTATTATCAAATTGAAAGGAATGAAGCCAAACATAAGGCAAAAAGAGAGTCAAACAGTGAAGTTAATAAAAAAAAGAAAGTCGAAACTAGTATTAAGTGGTCTGAGTTACTATACTAAAATGCTATAAAAAAAATTTTAGAGGGCCATGACTTATGCCTGCTCCTTTGTATTTGCCTCTGATCTTGTTGAAAAATATGCAGGGTAAATTAACCCTATGAAATAGGGTGTGAACGCCTTCAAATATTAAAAAATAAAAAATTTTGAAAAATATTTTTTCTCAACATTTTTTTTTTTTTGCCTACAAAATTAATAAATATGTAAATAATGTTTTACATATATTTTAAATAAACATTCAGAAAAATTTTGAATCTGCCACTAAAAACATCAGTAATTTGCTAAAAAGGACTCAGATTTTATTAAAATATAATATCCTTTCACAAAAAATATATATATATATAAGTAAAGAAAAGAAAATACAAGAAAATCCCATTTCAATATATACTCATTTTATTTCTATCTATTTAATTCATAAAAAGAATACATTATACGTATGAGTTCTGGCAATCTGATTAGATGCATCACATATCATGTTATATGAGATAATGCTCATTTGGGAGGTAAAAATGAAGAGTTTTTTTTTAAGAAACAGTTGAAAAATGGTTTAAAATCTATGATATTTAATAGATAAAAGGTTGTGCCCCTAAAGTGGCCATGCCATATAACCAGCTAAGAGCCTATGATTCACAAAAACTACATTATCTAGCCACAGCCCAAGTAAGAAATGAATACAACCCAGAAAAAAGGGCAGATTCCGCAAGCCAACTCAGCCGAGGCCATCTTTTGTAATTTAGGTTACCAAACATGTCCCCTTTTTTAACGTTAACACCTTAAATGAAATCTTTACATTCGCACGACAACACGCAAGAAGGAAAAAGAAAAAGACAGGAGAACAGTGTGAACCTCTTCCATTATTCTCTAATAGCCTGATCTGCACATTATCTTCCTCTCTCTAAAGGGTCAACCTTTTGCCTTGAAGAGACAGAGAGGGGGAGATAGGTTTTGTTTGAAACAAAAGAAAAAAAAAAAAAGGGAATATAAGATACTTTGATTATGGGTGGTGGGAAGAGATTTGCTGTTCTTCTCTGTGCTGAGGATTCTGATTATATTAAAAAGAGATATGGAGGGTATTATGGGGTTTTCGTGGAAATGCTGGCGGAGGAAGGGGAGACCTGGGATGTGTTCAGGGTGGCCAATGGTGAGTTCCCTGATGATAAAGAGATTGGTGACTTTGATGGCTTTGTTATAACCGGGAGTTGCAATGATGCACATGGCAATGACGTTTGGATTTGTAGGTTGATTGCTCTCTTGAACAAGTTGGATTCATTGAAGAAAAAAGTTCTTGGGATTTGCTTTGGTCATCAGGTAATTCCTTCAAATTAACGACGTTCTTTTTTTTTTTTTTTTTACTATTAGTAGTACTTTTTGTTTAATGCTAGAGTTATTTGATCATTATTTGTGAAGATGTAATAAATATAAAACATATTTTTTTAATTTTACGAAATTTTTATATTAAAATTTTAAATGGTACTTCCTGATACCATGTTTTAAATTGTCGATGTGAAGCGCTTGGTTCTGGTTTATTTTCATTCCAACATTCTTGAAAAAGTTATTTTATTTTGGTTTTTTTTCAATTAAAAAACAAAAAGCTTTTCTCAAAATTTTTTATTAATATGATTTAACTAGAAACTTCCAACCAAAATCTTAAATGGCATTTGATGAATGGTGAAGTGAGGGAGGATATAAGAGAAAAAATATTATCTTTTCGTTTTAAATTATTTGAGGATTATTGATTTTTATGAAATTTTTTTAAAAAATAATTTTAATATATTAAATTTAAATTTAAATTTTTTTTATAAAATTAAAGTTTTACAATTTTTAATATCAAAAAATAAAAATAATTTTAAAATATAAATAATAAATATTTAAATATTTCAAAAAATAATTTTAAAATAATTCGAAAATAAAAAATTAATAAAAAAAGAGACGGAAGGAGTAATCAAAAAGCAGATGTGGGATTCTTTTAATACACTAAAATTTGTATTTGAGATACGTCAGCTGATGAAACTGAGATCAGTTAAGTCGACATTAGGTGTAAAGAACTGGATGTAAAATAGTTTCTTTTTTTTTTTTTGGGTCAATTTTGATGGCAGAAATAGGTGAAAACCCGGAGCTAACCAAGTGTTTGATATAATGTCACTAAACTCAGTTTATGAATTACTCACAGAAACCAAGATGTAAGAGCTCTGTGAACTGTGATGTGAAAATTACGTTAGGTAGTAGTATGATTTTTTATTGCCGCGGTCACGGTTGAACGGCTTTAAATCTGCTAACAAAGTCTGGCATCTGATTTTGGTCCCAATATGTGTCCCCATGCTAATTGAATTTTTTGTGTACGGCAGAATGCTCTCCTTTGAATTTGGAGGTTGTTATGTCAGCATTTTGGACCCTCCCTATCTTTCACAGATGTGATCTGCTACTCTTCTTTTAACCATGGGCTAAGGTTTTTTTTTTTTTTTTTTTGAAAAAGTGAATACATGATTATAGGTTCCCACCATTCAGCATTGCCATGTGTATAATTTTACATGTGAAAATTATGGTATGAAAACATGTACGTGTCTTGAGTCTTGACTGTAGATGTGCAAAAAAATATTACTGCAATCTCACTTTTTAAATGTCATTTTCAATATCGTTGGCTTATCAAGGGGCCAAAAGCTTAGTTGTGGAGAGAAAGTGGCTCGGGGCAATTTATTGCACATGGGTTTAGTTTGTTTTTTCTTTTTGTATTGCTCTTTTCTTTGAGTTTTCATTGCCCATACTAACCTCAACCTATTGAACCCACAATTGGCAGTTTACGTTTAGGATGTTTTCAATTCTCTGAGAATTACTTGAATTGGGGTTGGCCTTAGCAACTCTAGAGGCTCGAAAATTAAGCATTTTTAAGGAATCTATAGTTAGATATTTTGTAGATAATGCCGGTTGTTTTCATTTTTTCAAAGATAAAAAGCTCAAAAGTATTTTGTTGTAATTTGATCAGATTCTTAGTCGTGCACTGGGAGGAAAGACCGGGCGTGCCATCTCAGGTTGGGACATTGGAATCAGAGCCATCCATTTCTCATCATCTTCATCAAAGCTCTTCTCATCTCTGAAAATCCCAACCACTCTTTCCTTGATCGAGTGCCACAGAGATGAGGTCGGTCTATTTCAAAAATGAACTTGGTAACTTAGTAACCAAACCATAAAAGAAGAAACCGAAAATTTTTCAGTTGTGTCGTAAACTGTTTTTATATGCTAGGTTCGAGAACTTCCACCAAAAGCAGAGGTGATAGCACGGTCTGAAAAGACTGGGGTCGAGATGTTTAGATATGCAGATCATATGATGGGCATCCAAGGCCACCCTGAGTACACCAATGACATTCTGCTTCATCTGATCGACCGTCTTATGATGCGCGGTTTTATTGCGGTACATCCACCATCTGATAAATTCCAAGCGCCTTGTAATAAGTCTTGTTGATGAAGAATAAGTATTGACACGCTTTATATCAAATGCAGGATTCGTATGCTGATGAGTTGAAGGCAAACCTGGGGAAAGTGGAGCCTGATAAGGATGCATGGAAGAAACTGTGCACCAGCTTCCTCAAGGGTAGATTATAATGAAAATTTTCTTTATTGGAAATTGTCCAAAAAAATAAAAAGAAAACGTTAATATGAACCCCATTTAGCAAGTTGAAATTTGAAACAAGCTCAGTGAGGTAGGTCACAGGCTAAGAAAACAGAAAGTTGCATTTAAGCATGTAAAAGCTGTTCTTAGGTAAGGATTTTGATGTGGTCTTCTCCGGGTTAACGAAAGATTGGCAGCTTTTTCTTAACAATTTCGATCCCCTCCATAATAAACTTAAGATTGGCACCAGCTGTATCAAATTCATGACCTCCATCTACAAGCCAAGGAGGCATTTGTAAAACACGCTTAAAATTCATCTCAATCCGGCCCAATAACGCTTCCTCCAAACCTCCGTGTGTGCTGACATATTCCAAAATCCCCTTCCACATGGCGAACTTAATTTCTCAACCATAACAAACAACCAAACAAAAAGTTGAAAAGAGGAATCAAGGGCAAAGTGAAGGGTAAGGTGTCCAAGAGAAGATAATCTTCTCATCCTACTTAATCAAGCATTGCAGCAGTGAGCCACCATCAAATTTCAATTGCATTTGATTTGATTCAACACCAACACCATCACTCGCTAAAGGCATAAATGAAGGGATACTAATCGAGATTCAATATCTATAACAATATCAAGGTCCAATCATTGAAAATAATATCACTTAGATCGAGTATTCATAGAGATTATTGAACCATTATCGGAGTTCAGCTTCATAATCAACTGAAGAGAAATGATGATAAATAAAAGTGGAAGTCCAAAAGCTGACATTCCGTTGCACAGCAACAAATAGGGAATAACCTTAGGCACCCAACATGGATCCTGAGTTTTTCCTACACTCAGACAACATATCCATGTAGAACTGACACTTGCTGATTTCATTTCCATAGCTGTTCAGGCACTACAAGAAACACAAAAAACATATCAGTACATTAGTCTTGCTGGATATTCCAAAAGAGTTCTGCACCATGCATACGAACATGATAAATAGATACTAATGGCATCCACCACAAGTGTAAAAACTCAGAATCAAAACTGAGTTAACTAATTAATTAAGAAAGCTAGGCCATATGTCATTCATTCCAAATCAAGTAAATGACATAAGGCAAATCGTAAACCCGAAGAGCACAATTAAACAGATAGAATCTAGGAATCATCCTTGGGAATCAAAGTTCAATGAGCCACAGCATGCAAAATTTATCAACATTTTAACAAACTACTAATCTATCAAGTAACCAAGTAAAAGAAAGTAAAATTCACATACATCCTGGAATGCCTTGGAGTGGATGCTGCATGCATCAGAGCCAGCAAAACTATTGGTGGCGGCGGCTGGTGCAGGGGCAGCAGCAGCCTCAGAATCCACAGTTTCATGTTGTATAGTACGAGGACCCAAAACAGAATCAACAGCCCTGTGAGCCACAGCGCTTCCAGTGCCAAAAGCCATACCTGTAAAGGAGATAAAGAAAAGAATTAACAAAATGTATCATAATAAAGCAACCAGATATATAAAAGGTAAATAGTCCACCATCTCATAAGGATATCCATTCACATACCCTGAGCTATGGTAGAGCCTATGCCTCCCAGCAATCCACCACTTCCACTCTGAGCGGGAGCCGGAGGAGGAGCATGTTGAGCTGCAGCGAAAGATAAAAACATAATAAGTAATTACTTACTAAATCCAACTTTAAAACAACAACCCTCATTAAAAAGATGGATATCAAGATTAACAGATCCTGAAACTCTCACCCTATGTACTACATACATAACCATACACGATATAAAAAAGCATCAGTTACCTGGTTGAGGTGGCAGGCTGCGTGCAGGAGCACGACGAGGGGCTGGGCGAGAAGCAGACCTTCCTGCAAAATAATAAGAACAAAAGCGGAAAAAATATAAACTGAACAGAACAGAAATTCCAAGAACAAAAAAAAAAAAAAAACAAAATTGGCATAGCTCTGGCTAAAACATATATACTTATAACATACAAATATCAATATTCTTGCACCGTCCTCCAAAGTACTTGTATCACATTGATATGAACCAATACCAAAGTAAAAAGAATAAAATAAAAAAGGAGATAATAAATCTATTCTATAGCAAGCCCAGTTTTAAAAGCAGAGTACCGAAATTAAAAAACTCAATCAGAACAAACAAACCTAAATCAAATAATACAGATTGACGTGGATATACAAAATACAAATTAGAACAAACAAACCTAAATCAAATAATACAAACTAACCTAAAAATCAGGCGAAAGTAGATGTGGATACAACAAGTACAAACAAATAAATTAGATGTAAAAAAGTTAATATCAGGCGAAAGTAGATGTGGGTACACCAAGTACAAACAAATAAATTAGATGTAAAAAAGTTAATAACTGAGTCAGAACAAACAAACCTAAATCAAATAATACATATTAAACTAGAAATCAGGCGAAAGTAGATGTGGATACACAAAATACAAATAAATTAGATGTAAAAAAGTTAATAACTCAATCAGAACAAACAAAGCTAAATAAAAAAAATATACAAACTAACCTAGAAACCAGGCCAAAGTAGACGTGGGTACACAAAATACAAATAAATTAGATATAAAAAAGTTAATAAATATTTTGGATATAAATATTTATGAGAGAAATGAGATGAGAAGCAAACCAGAGCTTCGGCGAGGCATTGTTGAAGAAAAGAGGCGGCGAGTTAATACTTTTCCGGAGAAAGGGTTTAGCTTTAAATTGACAATCCCCGGTATTTTATAGGCAGAGCGTTGCTCTTTTATAATAATAACTAGTTTTTTTTTATCCGTGTCGTGCACTAAAATTTTTTATCATATTTTTTATAATTTAAAATGTTAATTGATATTAATTTTTATATTTAAATTAAGGTAAAATTTATATATTTTAAAATATTTGGATAAATGTAAATTTTTAAAAATTAAATAATTAATTAGATTAAATTATTTTAAATTATTTTACATGTTAATAATATAAATTGTTCATCTAAATATCTACTTAACAAATCTTATCAAATTTCTATGTATATAATAATAATAATAATAATAATAATAATAATAATAATAATAATCTATTCTATCCATATAATATATTAAAATTATCTTTAATAGAGAGGAATTACACAAAAAAATTTATATTTTTTTAATAATTGATTTTAATAAATCCAAAAAATATGATTAAACCATTTTTTCTCTTTTTCAATTGCATTATAATCCTTAATTTTACTAAATTCACGATTAAACAATATATAGTTTTTTAATTTTACATTGATGTAAATTTATCTCTCCCCATCTCTACTTGAATTGATACTAACTTTTTAGATAACTAACACTTGTCATAAAAATAATTTGAAAATCAATTAGGGTATAATATTTTATGAGTAAGATGAAATACGATTTTATAATTCAACGTGTAAGGTTAATTGTGATATTTTATTATATTTTAGGATTAATATAGACATTTAACTTATATTTATTAATATATTTAAGATTTTGATTAATATTCATCAAGGTCAAAAAAAATTTTAAATTAATTTTAAAGGGACTTTAGGATGATAAAATCATTCATAGTTGACAAATTTTGAGCGAATTTTTTTTTTTTCAAATAGGAGTCAAATTAGATGTAAGACATATTTTTTAAAAATCATGATAAGGTCAGAGGCGAATTTTAAAATAGTTTTTCTTGACCTGAAATATATAAAATTATATATTATTTATTTAATTTTATATTATTATATGTATGTATTAATAAAAATATTATTTAACATCTTAATTTAATATGTTAATTAATAAAAACATTACATTTATATATAATTAATATATAATTTATATTCAAAATAATATTTTTATGAATATCATACTAAATTAAAATTATTAAATTAATAATGGGTCAATGCGGGTCTAATAAATATGTGATAGGTTGAAGTCGGGTATGAAAAATAATAATTCAATATTTGGTTGAATCAGAGACAAATAAAATATTTTTAAAACGAGATTGGAGTTGAGGTGAGCAAAAAGTTACTTCGATCCAATCCATTGTCATCCTTAGAAGATTTTGGAGTTAGTTTAGGTAAATGAAAATATTTCAAAGGTATTTTCATATTTGAGGGTTAAATGAGATAATATTTAACACCAATGACACTTTTACACTAGATGATGTTTTAGACTAATATTTTTTGTATGTATTCAATTGTTAATGAAAATCCAACTTATCAGAACTTAGGTAAACTTTAAAGTTCCATCTAACTTTTTTGTCAAAGATCAAAATTACTTTTTGTAGCAATTAATATTTTGAATTAGCCATTTTTTTTTGTTTTTATAGTGCAATATTATACAAGGTTTAATTATATTTTATAATCCAATTATTTTTCAACAAAATAATTCTATAGCTCAATATCATCAATATTAACTAATGTAAATATTCAAATATTTGAAATGTTATAAAATCTATATATTTTTTTCTTTTTTTTTTTTGTTATTTAATCTTTAAACCCTCGTATATAAATTACACTTTTATTATATTTTCAAAGCTTGAACGATTACTTAGTCTATATAAAATTATCCTCTAACAACTTATTTTAGTGATAATTGGCATTATTTCATTGGTTAATCCTAATTATTTGACTTATCCTATCAACCTTTAGTGTCAACTTTTTTTTTTTTTAATTTTTAAGTGTAAATGATGTCAGTTTGCAAACTTAAAAAAGAAAAAAATGTTAAAAAAGCTTCAGGAGATAAAACCTAGAACCTTTGAGAGACAGAGATAGAATTGATAAAAGAAAAAAGAAGAGATAAGGGAGAAATGGAAAAAAAAAAAAAAAAAAAGAGAGAAAAAGGGGAGAAAAATAAATGAATGGTTAGATTTCACTTCTCTCATCGTTTTGATCTAACTTGGGGACGAAATTATGGAGAAAAAAAGAGACAATGGAGAATAGAAAACCTAAAGGTGAAAGGTGAAGGATAATGGCTTGTCGATTAATTTTGTAGTTGGCAATCAGATCGGGTTGTTATGCCAACTTGAAAACAAATATCGCTTTGTTTCATTTGGTTTTTTTTTTTTTTTTTCATTTTAAAGTATTGTATTAATTATTTTTTGCTTTTTGGCCTAATGGCCAAAGAGGCCTTAAAAGGATATGAAGGTCTAGGTTTTGAACCAAAGATCTCATCCCTCTCCCCCATACCTTGTACTTAAAAAAAAGGCATTTTATCAGTTTATTTTAACTATAAAAATAAATTTTACTCAAGTTCGAAAAAGAAGAAAATAAACAATGAATGTGTTTTATTTATCTTTGTTTGTACTTTTGCTTTAATTTTATAAAATAAGTTATCAAGATTTCAAGTTTAGGTTTCACTCAAAATTTGCTTTTACATTTTTGTTGTCTTTTATTTTTTAATTATCTTATTAATTTTGGTTTTATTTTATTTTGTCTGTGTTTGTTTTTAATGGTTTGCATGTGATGATCATCTTCTTTATTACTATTTGTTGTATTTTTAATTATTTTGTTTAAGTCATACTTTCCATATTCTTTATTCTTGCTTCTTTTTGGTTCAAGTGATGGTATTTTCAATTCTTTGATTTTTTTTTTAATTGTTTCAAGGTTGAAGTTTTTTTTTTAAATTAATCATAGCATAGTTTTATTTTTTAAATTGATTTTTGGTTTTTTTTTGCATTTTCAGGTTCTGTGTTTAACTTGTTAGAGTAATCTCTATTTTGGTAATAATCTTTTTTTGGTGTACTAAATGCTTGGTTTGTATTTTTGTTTTTACTTTACTACTTTTTTGTTAGATTTAGAAAAATTTTTTTAAGAAAATAAGTGTTGCTCATTTGTTTTCACTTGAATCCATGGTAAGTGTATGCCATATAATGAGGCTTTTAATCCATAAGAATTTAGTTTAAAAAGTTTCACAATCATTTTTATTGGTCAATGCTATATGCTTTGTTGGACTTACAATTGTCTCTTTGTTTAGTTTATCAAGTGATCAGATGCTAATTTTGTTTGTCATGCTTACCTAATGTCCTATGAATTTTGTTAGCTTATTTTCAGCACTTGATTTATTTTTGTAATATTTTTTTGGCGTTTTGGGATCTTATTATTTTTTATAAGGAAATCGCATTTATTATTCTTTGGGATCCATTCAAATATCAAGATATTCGAAACAGCTCTTTTACTTGAGATTATGAAATGATTCCTTATAAAATCGTCCTTACTGTATTTTGTTTTTACATAACCTAAACTTATCAAAGTACTATTAATATTATACGATTATAGTTAACTAATAAGCATCGTAACTTGCCAACAATTGTTCTTATTTTTTTTTTTTTTTTTTTGTTTTCTTTATTCTTATTACTTTGCTTATATATTTTTAACATATGTATAATGTATCCTTGCTTTAAATTAGTAAAAGCTGGAATTAGATTCTAATACTTTCACTATCAATTAAAAGCATTTATATTCCCTAACAAGAAAAAATAATCATTGAGTAGACACTAAATTATTCATACCAAACAAAAAATACAACAAAGTTTCCTCTTGGCAATAGAAAAAAAAACAACATTTTGTTTGATAGTGTCAAATGATTATAAGTTCAATTACCTTATTGTTGCTTGATCATAGTACATGTTGGTGGGAATTTGTTAAATTTGGCTTCAATAAGAAATGAGCCAACATATGATTGCTTATTTTCATAATTTTTAATTTTTTTAATATGTGTTTCACGTACTTATTTTATTAAATAAATTTGATATTGCAACCTATTGTGTAATTGCAGTTGAATTTTTTAATAGACAAGTTTGCTCTTATATTCATTTGAGATATTAGAACTCTATACTTTTCTCTCCTTTGATTTTACGCTTTAAATTACATTGTTGCCATAATTTTCCATATATTACATAATTATAATATATGGTTGTAATTATCTTTGAAGTTTATGATCATATATGTTGGCTCTTGATCATGGCCACAGTCATATTTTCTATCTATTCCTATATTAGTCTTGATATTGAAATTGCTTAAGTTGCAGATATATCTCTTATTTAGAGTTTTGGGACAACTAATTTCTTAAGCATAAAGATTAAAATCTTGATCTTGAATGGATTATTACTGTTTATTTTAGTTGGCTATTGAAACTCTTGATCTTAAAATGATGCTTACTGGAATAAACATTAAAAAAGTAATACTATCTCAAAAGAAATAGAGCTTCCAAACTCAAACCAATGTTGCTTAAGCTAGTTGAGTTGTTTTTAAATAAGTGAAGTAGCTGTACTATTTTTTAATTACTTGGTTTCAAATTTATTGTTGATAAATGCAAGCAAAATAATATGCTTAATAGCATTTGATGAAAACATGAAATGCTTTCAAGCTTTTGGTTTAAAGATATCGCTGAATATGAAAAATGGGATGGTCAACCACATAGCTCACATGAATCTGTTCTAGGGATCTAAGACAAATATAGATCAAGAAAGCTTCACTTCCTTTTTAATTGATCAAGAAAGTTCAAAAATGAACTTGGTAACTTAGGAACCAAACCATCAAAGAAGAAACCGAAAAGTTTTCAATTGTGTTGTAAACATGTTTGTGTATGCTAGGTTTGAGAACTTCCACCAAAAACAGAGGTGATGGCACGGTCTGAGAAGACTGGGGTCGAGATGTTTAGATATGGAGATCATATGATGGGCATCCAAGGCCACCCTGACAACAACAATGACATTCTGCTTCACCTGACCAACCGCCTCATGATGCGCGGTTTTATTGCGGTACATCCACCATCTGATAAATTCCAAGCTCCTTGTAACAAGTCTAGATGAAAGAATAAGTATTGACACGTTTTATATCAAATGCAGGATTTGTATGCTAATGAGTTGGAGGCAAATCCGGGAAAAGTGGAGCCTGATAGGGATGCATGGAAGAAACTGTGTACCAGCTTCCTCAAGGGTAGATTATGATGAAAATTTTCTTTATTGGAAATTGTCAAAAAAAAAAAAAAAAAAGTAAATATGAACCCCATTTAGCAAGTTGAAATTTGAAACTAGTTTAGCGAGGGGGGTTACATTCTAAGAAAACACAAGGTTACATTTAAGCATGTAAAAGCTGTGCTTAGGTAAAAATTTTGATGTTGTCTTCTCCGGGTTAGTAAAAGATTGGCAGCTTTTTTCTTAACAATTTCAATCCCCTCCATAATAAACTTAAGATTGGCAACAGCTACATCAAATTCACGACCTCCATCTACAAGCCAAGGAGGTCGTGAAAATTCATCTCAATCAGGCCCAATAACGCTTCCTCCAAATCTCCGTGTAAGCTAACATAGTCCATAATCCCCTACCACATGGCAAACTTAATTTCTCAACCATAACAAACAACCAAACAAAAAGTTGAAAAGAGGAATCAAGGGCAAAATGAAGGGTAAGGTGTCCAAGAGAAGATATCTTCTCATCCTACTTAATCAAGCATTGCAGCAGTAAGCCACCATCAAATTTCAGTTGCATTTGATTCGATTCAACACCAACACCGTCACACGCTAAAAGCATAAATGAAGGGATACTAATCGAGATTCAATAACTATAACAATATCAAGGTCCAATCATTGAAAATAATATCACTTAGATCGAGTATTCATAGAGATTATTGAACCATTATCGGAGTTCAGCTTCATAATCATCAACAGAAAAGAAATGAATATAAATAAAAGTGGAAGTCCAAAAGCTGACATTCCGTTGCACAGCAATGAATAGGGAATAAGCTTAGGCACCCAACATGGATCCTGAGTTTTTCCTGCACTCAGACAACGTATCCATGTAGAACTGACACTTGCTGATTTCATTTCCATAGCTGTTCAGGCACTACAAGAAACAAAAAAACATATCAGTACATTAGTCTTGCTGGATATTCCAAAAGAGTTCTGCACCATGCATACTAACATGATAAATAGATACTAATGGCATCCACCATAAGTGTAAAAACTCAGAATCAAAACTGATTTAACTAATTAATTAAGAAAGCTGGGCCATATGTCATTCATTCCAAATCAAGTAAATGACATAACGCACATAGTAAACCCGAAGTGCACAATTAAACAGATAGAATCTAGTAATCATCCTTGGGAATCAAAATTTATCAACATTTTAACAAACTACCAAACTATCAAGTAACCAAGTAAAAGAAAGTGAGATTCACAGACATCCTGGAATGCCTTGGAGTGGTTGCTGCATGCATCAGAGCCAGCAAAACTACTGGTGGCGGCGGCCAGTGAAGGGGCAGCCGCAGCCTCAGAAACCACAGTTTCATGTTGTATAGTACGAGGACCCAAAACAGCATCAACAGCCCTGTGAGCCACAGCGCTTCCAGCGCCAAAAGCCATACCTGTAAAGGAGATAAAGAAATGAATTAACAAAATGTATCATAATAAAGCAACCAGATATATAAAAAGTAAATAGTACACCATCTCATAAGGATATCTATTCACATACCCTGTGCTATGGTAGAGCCTATGCCTCCCAGCAATCCACCACTTCCACTCTGAGCAGGAGCCGGAGGAGGAGCATGTTGAGCTGCGGCGAAAGATAAAAACATAATAAGTAATTACTTACTAAATCCAACTTTAAAACAAACCTCGTTAAAAAGATGGATATCAAGATTAACAGATCCTGAAACTCTCACCTTATGTGCTACAGACATAACCATACATGATATATAAAAGCATCAATTACCTGATTGAGGTGGCAGGCTGCGTGCAGGAGCAGGACGAGGGGCTGGGCGAGAAGCAGACCTTCCTGCAAAATAACAAGAACAAAAGCGGAAAAAATATAAACTGAACAGAACAGAAATTCCACAAACACAAAAAAAAAAAAAAAAAAAAAAATTGACATAGCTCTGGTTAAAACATATATACTTATAACATACAAATATCAATATTCTTACACCGCCCTCCAAAGAACTTAACTTGTATCACATTGAAATGCTCCAATACCAAGGTAAAAGAATAAAAAAAAAAGGAGATAATAAATCTATTCTATAGCAAGCCCAGATTTTAAAAGCAGGGTACCGAAATTAAAAAAACTCAATCAGAACAAACAGCAAATACAGATTGCCGTGGATACACAAAATACAAATTAGAACAAACAAACCTAAATCAAATAATACAGACTAACCTAAAAATCAGGCGAAAGTAGACGTGGGAACACAAAGTACAAACAAATAAATTAGATGTAAAAAAGTTAATACTGAATCAGAACAAACAAACCTAAATCAAATACAAACTAACTTAGAAATCATGCCAAAGTAGACGTGGGTACACAAAATACAAATAAATTAGATGTAAAAAAGTTAATAAATATTTTGGATATAAATATATATGAGAGAAACGAGATGAGAAGCAAACCAGAGCTTCGGCGAGGCATTTTGTTGAAGAAAAGAGACGGCGAGACTTTTCTGGAGAAAGAGTCAATCCTCGCTATTTTATAGGCAGAGCCTATTTTATAATAATAACTTGTTATTTTTTATCTGTGTCGTGCACGAAAATTTTTTATTATATCTTTTATAATTTAAAATTTTAATTTATATTTATTTTTATATTTAAATTAAGATAAAATTTATATATTTTAAAATATTTGGATAAATGTAAATTTTTAAATTTTTAAAAATTAAATAATTAATTAGATAAAATTATTTAAAACTATCTTACATGTTAATAATATAAATTATTCACTTAAATATCTAATTAAGCAAATTTTATTCAATTTTTTTATATAATAATAAAATAATAATAATAATAATAATAATAATAATATATATTATCCGTATAATATATTAAAATTATCTTTAATAGAGAGAAATCATTTTACATAAAAAATTTTATTTTTTTTAATAATTAATTTTAATAAATCTAAAAAAATATGATTAAAGCATTTTTTTTTCTCTTTGTCAGTTGCTTTATAAACTTTAAATTTATTAAATTAATTATTACAAATATATAATTTTTTAATTTCACATTGATGTAAATTTATCTTTCCCCATCTCTAATTGAATTGATACTAATTTTTAGACAACCAACACTAGTCATAAAAATAATTTGAAAATCAATTAGGGTATAATATTATAAGAGTAGGATGAAATATGATTTTATAATTCAATTTTTAAGGTTAATTGTGATATTTTATTATTTATTTAGGATTGATATAGACATTTAACTTATATTTATTAAGATATTTAAGATTTTGTTTAATATTTATCAAGGTCAAATTTTTTAAATTAAATTTGAGACTTTAAGATAATAAAATAATTTATAACTGACAGATTTCGATCGTTTCAACCTAGAAGTAACTTTTTTTTTTAAATTAAAAGTCAGATTAGAGGTGAGACATATTTTTTAAAAACCATGATAAAGTTGGAGGTGAATTTTAAAGTATTTCTTCTCGACTTGCTCTAAGGTATATAAAATTATATATTATTTATTTAATTTTATAGTAATATATGTATATATTAACAAAAATATTATTCAATATCGTAATTTAAGATGTTAATTTAATAAAAACACTATATTTATATAGAATTAATATATAATTTATATTAAAATTAATATTTTTATCAATATCATACTAAATTAAAATTATTAAATTAATAATGGGTCAGATGCAAGTCTAATAAATATGTTTCAGGTCGAAGTCGAGTATAAAAAAATAATAATCTGATATTTGATTGAATGAGAGACAAATAGAATATTTTTAAAACGAGGTTGGAGTTGAGGTGAGCAAAAAATTGTCTCTACTCGATCCATTGCCATCCTTATAAGATTTTGGAGTTAGTTTAGGCAAATGAAAATATTTCGAAGCTATTTTCATATTTGCGGGTTAAATGGGATAATATTTAACACCAATGACACTTTTACAGGTTATGATGTTTTAGACTTTTTTTTTTTTTTTGCATATTCAATTGTTAATGGAAATCCAACTTATTAGAGCTTAGGTAAACTTTAGAGTTCCATCTAACTTTTCTTTCCAATATCAAAATTATTTTTTTGTAGTAATTAATATTTGGAATTAGCAACTTTTTTGTTTTTATAGTGCAATATTATGCAAGGTTTAATTATTTTTTATAATCCAATTATTTTTCAACAAATTAGTTTTACATCTCATCATCATTCAGATTAACTAATGTAAATATTCAAATATTTTAAATGGTATAAAATCTGTATATCATTTTTTCTCTTATTTTTATTATTCAATCTTTAAACCCTCATATATGGATTACACTTTTGTTATATTCCTAAAACTCGGACGATTACTTAGTCTATATAAAATTATCCTCTAGCAATTTATTTTAGTTACAATTGGCATTATTTCATTAGTTAATTCTAATTATTTGACTTATCATATCAACCTTTAGTATCAACTTTTTTTTTTAATTTTTAAGTGTAAATGCTGTCGGTTTGCAAACTTAAAAAAAAATGTATAAGAAGCTTTAGGAGATAGAACCTAGAACCTTCGAAAGGTAAAGATAAAATTAATAAAAGGAAAAAAAAAAAGAGATAAGGGAAAAATGGAAAGACATGGGGAAAAAAGGTAAATAAATAAATGAATGGTTAGATTTCACTTCTCTCATTGTTTTGATCTAGCTTGGGGAAGAAATTATGGAAAAAAAAAAGAGATTGAGGATGGAGAATAAAAAACCTAAAGGTAAAGGGTGAAGGATAATGGCTTGTCGATTAATTTCGTAGTTAGTAGTCAGATCGAGTTATTATGCCAACTTGAAAACAAACATTGATTTATTTCATTTAATTAGTTATTATTTTTTTCATTTTAAAAAATTGTATCATTTGCCCTTTACCTCTCTGCCTAGTGGCCAAAAAGGCCTTTAAAGTACACAAAGGTCCTGGTTTTAGTCTAAGGACCTCATCCCTCTTTCCCGTACTCTGTATCTTAAAAAAATATTTTATTAGTTTTTTTTTACTAAAAAAAAATTTTACTCAAGTTCAAAAAAGAAGAAAATTGACAATGAATGTGTTTTATGTATATTTATTTGGGCTTTTACTTTAATTTTATAAAATAAGCTATCAAAAATTTCAAGTTTAGGTTTCACTCAAATTATGCATTTATTTTTTTAATTATCTTATTAATTTTGGTTTTATTTAATTTTGTTTGTGTTTATTTTTAATGGTTTGCATATGTTGATCTTTGCCATATAGGATGATCATCTTCTTTATTACTATTTGTTTTATATCTAATTATTTTGTTTAAGTCATAACTTTCATATTTTTTATACTTGCTTCTTTATGGTTTAAGTGAAAGTATTTTCAATTCTTTGATTTTTTTTCTTAATTGTTTCGAAGTTGATTTTATTTTTAAATTAATCATTGCATAGTTTATTTTTGAAATTGATTTTTAATTTTTTTGCATTTTCAGGTTTTGGGTTTAACTTATTAGAGTATTCTCCAATTTGGTAATATTATTTTTTTGGTGTACTAAATGCTTGGTTTGTCATTTTGTTTTTACCTTACTACTTTTTTGTTTTATCTAGAAAAATTTTTTTTATGAAAATAAGTGTTACTCATTTGTTTTCACTTGAAACCATAGTAAGTATATGCCAAATAATGAGGCTTTTAATCCATAAGATTTTAACTTAAAAGTTTTCACAATCTTTTTTATTGGTCAATGCTATATGTTTTGTTGAATTTGCAATTGTCACTTTGTTTAGTTTATCAAGTGATTAGATGCTAATTTTGTTTGTTATGCTTACTTAATGTCTTATAAATTTTGTTAGCTTATTTTTAGCACTTGATTTATTTTTGCAACATTTTTTTGGCATTTTGGGATCTTATTCTTTTTTATAAGAAAATCACATTTATTATTCTTTGGGATCCAACCAAATATTAAGATATTTAGAACAACTCTTTTACTTGAGATTATAAAATGGTCTTTTATGAAATTGCCCCTAATGTATTTTGTTCTTACATAACTTAATGAGTGATAGGGTAACATGTCAAAGTGCTATTAATATCATATGTTTATAGTTAACTAATAAGCATTGTAACTTGCACACAATTGTTCTTATTATTTTTTTAATGTTCATTTTTGTTTTCTTTATTCTTATTATTTTGCTTATATATTTTTAACATATGCATAATGTATCCTTACATTAAATCAGTAAAAGTTGGAATTAGGTTCTAATACTTTCACTATCCATTAAAAGCAATTATATTCCCTAACAAGAAAAAATAATTATTAAGTAGACACTTATATATTCATACCAAACAAAAAATACAACAAAGTTTCGTCTAAGCAATAGAAAAAAAACAACAACATTTTGTTTGATAATGTCAAATGATTATAAGCTCAATTACCTTATTGTTGCTTGTTCATAGTTTATATTGGTGTGAATTTATTAAATTTGGTTTCAATAAGAAATGAGCCAACATATGATTGTTTATTTTCATAATTTCTAATTTCTTTAATATGTGTTTCATCTTATTTTCATAATTTTTAATTTTTTTGATATGTGTTTCATTTACTCATTTATCAAATAAATTTGATATTGCAGCCTATTGTGTAGTTGCAATTGAATCTTTTGGCAATCAAATTTGCTCTTAAATTTAATAAATTCTATCTTTTTATATTCATTTGAGTGATTAGAACTCTACATTTCTCTCTCATTTAATTTTATGTTTTAAGTTACATTGTTGCCATAATTAATAAATTATGACACTTTTTCATATATTACATAATTATAATATATGGTTGCAATTATCTTTGAAGTTTATGAGTGATGATCATATATGTTGGCTCTCAATCATGGCCACAGTTATATTTTCTATCTATTCCTGCATTAGTCTTGATATTGGAATTGCTTAAGTTTCACATATATATCTTATTTAGAGTTTTGGGCAACTAATTTTTTAAGCATAAAGGTTAAAATCTTGATCTTAAATGGATGATTAATGTTCATTTTAGTTAGCTATTGAAACTCTTGATCTTAAACTGATGCTTACTGGAATAAACATAAGAAAAGTAACACTATCTCAAAAGAAATAGAGCTTCCAAACTCAAACCAATGTTGCTTAAGCCAGTTGAATTCTTTTTAAATAAGTAAAGTAGTTATGCTATATTTTAATCACTTGGTTTAAAATTTATTGTTGATAAATGCAAGCAAAATAATATGGTTAATAGCATTTGAGGAAAAAGATGAAATGCTTTCAAGCTTTTGGTTTAGAGATATGGCTGACATGAATTGGTATTGGGGATCTAAGACAAATATAGATCAAGAAAGTTTCATGTCCTTTTTAATTGATTATGAATATTTCTAGACTATACTTTTATGTGATTTAAATGTATTTATTTTTTTATTTGTAATACTTTTATTGTTATTTTTATGATTTTCATTATAAACACTAGAAATTTTCTCACGCTTCACCAGTTTAATTTTTTTATTTGTAAATAATAGTATTTATAATAAATTTAATAGATGAAAGAGCACATTTTTTTATGTATTTTTTAATAAAATTTTAAGGA